ACACACAAAAATCCTTTGTAAGTAGAAAAGCGGGTGGAAGGGTGCTAACACAGCAGATCCAAGAGTCTAAGCCCCGAGTCAGTAGAGGGTAAAGCTTAGAAATCTCCTGTTCAAAAAGACGAAAGAGTTGGCAGCGTCAGGCCTCACTGAAGCTGAAACTGCAAACAGGAATATAGATAAAAGCCTGAACAGTGTCCATTTCCACCCCACTCTCAGCAGCTAGGTAGGTGTCTCGAAGCATGGCCATGCATGTTTTTATATCGTTGCTTTTCTCCTTGCTGTAAGGAGGTGCCTGGCAAGAGTAACCTGAGAAGGAAAGGTTTGTTGTGACTCAGACTTTGTGGATATAGTCCATCATGGGGAGAATGGTGGTGAGAACAGCTCCTTGAGGGCAGCGGGAGTGAGAGGCACCTGCTCATGCTGTGTCCCCCATCAGGAAGCAGAGAGAGAGAGAGAGAGAGAGATATGAATGCTGGTGCGCAGCATGCTGAAGACTGGAGATTTATTCTTGGAAACGGAGGCTCTCTGCTCACAGTGACACCAGCTGAGTACTATCTCTGTCTCTCTCTTTTTCTATCTATTCATTCTCTCTTCAACAAGGTTTTGATGTACAGGTAGCTTGTAATTAGTTCATTTATGTAGCCCAGGATGACCCTGAACTCTTGATCCTCCTGCCTCAGCCTCCTCAATGCTGAGATTATAGGCATGCACTAACCTATGTGCAGCACATTGGTTTTATTGGGTTTTTTTTAATGTTTTTATTTTATGTATGAGACTTTGTCTCCATGTTTGTGGACCATGTGTGTGCCTGGTATCCATGGGGTCCAGAAGAGAGACTTGGATCCCATTGAGCTGGAGCTACAGATGATGACAAGCCACTATGTGGGTGCTGGGAACCAGAATGAGGTCTTCCGAAAGGACAGCAAGTAAGTGCTCTTAACAGCCAAACCATCTCTGGAGCCCAGTGAGCATCATTTTGTAACATTTGAATTAAATGGAAGTTGAATCATCAGCTACTGTTCTAGCCTCCTCCTCTCCCTCTCCTGTATGGAAGAGCGTGGGCAACTGAGCTTAAATGCCCAAGAAAGTGATCTCTGGCTAAGGCAGAGATGTAGCAATTGTGGCACCAAGCAGACACCCCCAGCAAGAACACAGATACTTGCTCTCCTGTGGCACCATCAATTATCAGAACGTGCAGAAGGGACCTCCTGAGGAGTGTTCGGTGGGACAGACATGCCAAGCAAGGGGTGAGTAGACACTATGGAAAATCACCAACGGAACAAAAGAGATTGGTCAAAAGGAGGGACCGTGTCAAACAAACGTGGCTTCCTGGTTTCCAGGGATGAGAAAGCGCCACCTCCATAAAACAAGAGCACGTTGCCATTAACAGAACCATCCAGAAAGCGCAAATGCGAGGGTTAAAATAGGACGGCAAAAATGACCTTTGCTGTGTTTCCGATCACCTGAAAGCACCCGGGACAGAAGGACAGAGCCAGTTCTGTAAAGGAACGCTTGATGAGAGAGCCTAACAGGATTTGGAAGCTCTCATGCCTCCTGTGAGGGCACAGCTGTCCACTCCCAGGAGCCCAGGTGGAGCCAGGACTTCTTGAACAGCACAGGATCCCCAAGGAGAATCCTCTCAGTTAGACATCCAGCAGCCACAGGCACCCTTTAAGTAGCGCACACAAGCCTTGATTAAGCATCTCATCCAGTCCCTGTAGGGTGTAAATCATTTTCCTTTTATAGGCTGGAAAACTGAGGATTGGAGGGAAAGTGAGTCCTGGCTGGAAAAAGAACTCTTTAAGTTGTGTTCTCTATTTCAAGAATTCTCTTTTTGGTTTTGGTGTTGGCTTGAGCTGTAAAAAATAATTCATACCCCAGCACTTGGGGGGCAGATGCAGAGGAGCAGGTGTTCAAGAACACCCTCAGCTACAAGCCGAGTTTGAGACTGACTCAGCTACATGAATATTTATCTCAAACAACAAAAAACAAATAGAACCATACATGCGTGCACGTGCGTGCACACACACACACACACACACACACACACAATCTGATAAAAACTGAACAATTTGGAAATTAAGTATGTTGTGAAAGAACCCAATAGCCTTTCTCTCTAGATATCACCGTGGTCAGAAGTCTGACCACATGGGCGAACACTCACTGACCTAGAAAAGACAGAACTGGCTTCTAGTCCTTGCCCTGTTGCTCACCAGCTGTGTGACTCTGGGCTACTTAGCCCCTTTCTTCTCTGCTCTGGTCTTTGCTCAATATGTCTAAAATAAGGCTGAGCACCTTGGCCAGAAAGGGGAGAAGTGCTTTTATACCCTGAAAGCGTTTGTGTTCCTTAGTGACAGGCAAAGGGCTAGAGAGATGATGGCTCAGCTGTTAGGAGCTGGGCTTAGCTCCCAGCACCCACATAATGGCTCACAACCACCTGAAACTCTAGTTCCAAGCATTTCTAGTGTTACTCTCTTGGATATGAGTGAACAAGGGAAGAAAAGAAGGAGCTGAGAAGAGCTGGAGACAACACACCTGGGAAAAAAATGTAATTCAGATCCTTAGATAAGAGAACATCCTATATCAACAACACAGAACCAACAGTATGAAAGAAAATGGAGCAACTGAGAACACAGAAGGGCTCTTGGAGTTTAAAAATAGGATGGAATCAGGGCTAGAAAACTTGGACAAGGAAATTTTACCAGAAAGAACAACAACAACAACAACAACAAAAGGCAGACATAAGAAGAAAAAGGAGGGGTCCTGGAGAGATGGCTCAGTGGTTAAGAGCAGTGTCTGCTCTTCCAGAGGTCCTGCGTTCAATTCCCAGCAACCACATGGTGGCTCACAACCATCTATAATGAGATCTGATGCCCTCTCCTGTCATGCAGGCATACATGCAAATAGAGTGCTCATACAGATAAATAAATAAATCTTTAAAAAAAGAAGAAGAAGGAAAAGGAAAAAGAAACTAGGGGATGATTCAAGTGTGAAGTACTTCTCTATGCGTGTAAGGGCTGTAGTTCGGATCCTCGGAATTCCAGCCAGGTAGTCTTCCAATCTCCTGTAATCACAACACTTGGGAGGTGGAAGGGGGAGTCCCGGACTAACCTGACTAGCTAGACTCGCTGATCAGAGAGCTCTGGGTTCCACTGAGAGACCTGCCTCAGTAAATCAAGTGAAGATGCACTGATGTCATCTTCAGTCTTGACACACATCTGCACATGTATGCAGACTTACATGTACCTTACTCATACACATTCTCACGTGCAAACACACACACACACACTCACACACTCACACTATACACAAGTATACACATCAAGACAACAAAAGGCCAAGAAACTAGAATGCCAAACAAGGATATCTGACATACATCTCAAAGAGAAGGCAAGGGGAGGAGGGTTAGAAATCACAGACAAAAACTCCAAATCAAACTTCCTCGGAGGAGAAGGACCTGAGCTTTCAGGTGACTGAAGCCCAGGACAGTGCTTAAAAATAGACTACAGTTCGGCCCCTCGCTGCGAAGAGCCAGGCCACCGGGGATGAAGAAGGTCCGGGAAGCTTCCGGAAAGGAACATGCAGGTCTCACACACAAGCCAGGGTGGCATCAGGCCTCAGAACCAAGCTGGGAGTTAGGAAGTGTGGAGCAGAGCCTTCCAGATCCTGAAGGGAGGTGAATCCTAATTTGGTCGACTGTGAAGGCAGGGAAGGCAAACAGCATCTTCACATAAACTTTTACTTTCCAGGGCCCTGACTCCAGAACCTCCGAACAGAGGATCAAATTAAGAAAGAGGAGGCTACAAGGCTATTTTTATACAAATAAAGCCATCTTAAAATTACATTTATAGGGGCTGGAGAGATGCTCAGCTAATAAGAGCATGGACCGCTCTTCCAAAGGACCTGGGTTCAAATCCCATCACCTGAATGGCAGCTCACAACTATGTGTAACTCCAGTTCCAGGAGATCCAACTCCCTCCTACAGACATACATGTATGCAAAACACCAATGAAATTAAAAATAAATATATTTTTTTAAAATTACATTTAAAAAGTAGAGCTGGCTTAGCAGTTAAAGGGTTGCTTGGTAGAAGCATGAGCGGAAGCGTTTGGCTCCCACAATCCCTTGTAAAGGTTGGTGGGTGTAACAGCCTGCCTCATTCTCACCTGGGGGAATGGGGACTAGGGATTCCCAGAGTAAGCTCTCCAGAAAGCCTATCCAGATCAGTGAGTCCTGGGTTTGTTTGAGAGACCCTGCCTCAGTGAATGAGGCACAAGAGTGCTCAAGAGTAAATCTCAATTTCAACCTCAAGCCTCCACATTTGTGGTCACCCACACACATGGAAAGGCATGCGTGCGCACACACACACAGTGGAGAATGGGGGAACAAAACAGAACAATAACAGGAAACAAACACCAAAGCTAGTTTCTCTGAGAAAACCATCTGGTCCCCAGCACTGAGTCCTCATAATGCCCACAGAAAGAAAATACTCAGTTCTAAAGCACATGTTCCAATCAAATAGAAGCCTATCTAGCATCGAGGTTCTGCTTTAGCCAATGGCCTCCAAGATCACTAAAATATGGCAGTAGCTGACATCTGTGAGCTCTTCATGGTTTGCCACAGGGCTCCATGTGCCTGTGGCATCACAGCGTCCCGAAATGACTTTCACCAACCCTTGAAGAACACCAAGAACCTGAGGTTCTGTGACCTGCAAGCACCTAGTCCTGAGCCTAGGTGGCAGGGGATTGAACAAGGAACATTTTCTGTACTCCCCCCTTTTTTTTAGACTGATCACGCCATCTCCATCTTGTCTGCCATCTGCTCACTGAAGCAGATGACGCTCAAAGAAAATCAGCACAGCCCACCTCACACAGCCAGAAAGAGGCTGAACAGCCATCTAAAATATCTCCAGGGTCTCTGCTGAGCAAGCCCCTCCTCCAGGCCACTATAGTGTCATCCCCCTCTTCTCAGGCCCCTCCAGGAGTTCCAGCTATACTCACGCCATGAGTTTGTCCCGGTTCAGGTTCTGCAGGTAGCGCTTCTGTCCGTTCAAGAACAGGGAGCGGTATCGCTTCCTTCTGTCTATAGTTTCCATCAGTGTGGTGTTGAGGTAGCGGCCTACCCCGACTGGGTTCTGTGGTAGGGAGGAGAAAGACGTCAGGATGTCAGTGAGCGCAGCATGAAGACTTGCCCAAAGCCTTTCTACCCTCTGACACACCTCAGCTGGGAGGAATCAAACTGTATCTCTGCCTTCCCCCCGAAAATATACCGAAGCCCTAACATGAACGCCTCCCACTGCGACCTCATTGGAGAATCTGCTTGTTACAGATATAATGGGTTGAGATGAGGCCACGCCAGAGCAGGTGGAACCCTGGTCTAACATGACTGGTGTCCTTGTAAGAAAAGGCCCTCTGTGGAGGAGACGGCCATACACAGAGGCAGAGGTCAGAGTGAACAGTCAGAAACTGGGAAAGCCAAGGGTCTTCGGCCACTGTCAAAAAGCTGTAAAGAGGCAAGGAAGGCTTCTCTACCATCATTTTCATAGGGAGTATGAACTCTAGTCTTCTGGCATCAAGCTGTGAGAGAACGGCTCCAGTCACCAAGCCACCTGGTTTGTGGTCCTTTAGTATGGCGCCCAGGCCCGTCCTACCTACTTGTCTGCTCTAAGAGAGGCTCAGAGACAAGACATAACTTTTCGAGATGACATAGTAAAGATCAGAATCTAGGTTATGGTCAAGTAGGCATGTCCATAGGGGGTTTCCTACCCTGCTTCAGGAACTGGCCCTTCCTCAGCCCTTCCATTTTGCATGCCTACATATGAGAGTTCCTTTTAATTGCCAACTGCACACAGCTAGGAAGAAACTAGAGAGTCTCACAAGAGATTGTCTGGATCTTGCGGGCCTCTGGGCATGCTCATAGGGGTGGATGGTCTTCATTTTATTAGTTGATGTGGGATGATCCAGCCTGCCAGTCCCATTCTGGTCTGGGTCCTGGACTGTGCAAGAGCAGAGAGAGTGAGCAGAGCCTCATGCATTCTCTGTTCTCCGCCACAGACATGATGGACTAGCTGGTTCAAGCTTCTGCCATCTTGACTTCCCTGAGATAGTGGACTACAGTTTATTCTAGCTGGCACCGTGAGCTAAAATAAACGCCTTTTCCTCTAAGTCACATTGTGTCAGGACCTTTTATCACAGCAACAGAAATGAACCTCAGGTGCTGGCCCTGTCATCTGGCCTCCGTCTAAACATTTTACTTGAGATGTCTGAGGGCCTCACCTGTTGGAGTGTAGACTGAGGCAGGGAGCAGGGTAGTCATGCCAAGGCAGGGAAATTGCAAGCAAGGTGTGTCTTGGAGAGAGTGCGTTATGAAGTGTCTGGTTTGAGTTTGGTTTGGATACGAACTGTCTCTCAAAAAGTCTTGGTCCCCTGCTGATGGTGCAGTTTTAGTGGTGAATGGATCGTGCTTGGTGGAAGTTGCTCAGTGGCGGGCGCAGAGGTGGGGGTGGGTGGGGAAGCATGCCTTTGGAGAGCATGCCAAGACCCTGTTTCCTGCCGTGCCCCCCTCAACCTCTCACTCATTTACCACTAGGGGGCAGTTTCCCCCCTAGATGGTTGTTTCCATCTTACCCTGACCCGAAAAGCAACGGGAGTGAGCTGCTGTGGGTTAAAACCTCTGAGACCCAGAGCCAAAAGAAACCTTTCCTGCCCCCAGTTGACTTTCCTCAAGGATTTTTCTCACAGTGGCCAAAGGTGACTGTCACAGAGCAGGAAAGATCTTAAAAACAGCAAGTTCAAAGTGGGGCAAAGCTTCTCTGTGCTGCTGGAGGCAGGAAGCACCTCTGCTGTGGAGCTAGGGGTAGGGACTAAGATGACCGTGCGATGGCTGTAAGGTCGATATGGTTGGCAAGGGTGCACCAAAAAGCTGAGGGGGTGGGTCTTCAGAGGTGTCCACCAAAACAAAAAGTATTCACAAAAAAAAACGTGGTGGCAACATGCCTTTAATCCCAGCAGAGGCAGAGGCAGACAGAGCTCTATGAGCTGGAGGTCCAGGACAGCCAGGGCTACACAGAAAAACCCTGTCTCTTACCCACCCCTCTTATCCTCCTTAAAAAACAAAACAAAAAAACAAAAACAGTGTTCACAAATGCTGGGACTAGCTTGTTCAGGGATTACAGTACCAAGGGCGTCTTCACAAGCCTGGGACAGCAAAAAGGGCAGCGGAGGGAAAGGACAGGAGACTTGCTCATTCAGGCATAAGAAATAAGCTAGCATCTCCAGAAGCTGCCCTCAGAGACCCCCCCAACCCCGACTAACAGTGAGAAGGGGAGCTAAGAGCATGAGAGAGCAGTGCGGCGGTGCCTCTCAGCTCCTTGATTCTCAAAGTGTGGTCTCTGTGAAAATCAGTTTTAATCACCAACAGCCTAGAATCACACAGGAAGAGGCTCTCCATTCTCTTCCTCGATTCCCTTGTCTAGTTTGCGCTGGTGTGTGGGCATGCCTACAGGGTATATTGCTTTGTTTGCGTTTGTTGAGGTGGGCAGGCTCGCCCATGGTGGGTGTCACCATTCCGTGTTTGGGTCATGCGCTGTTTAAGTATATAGAAATGGCGCTGGACACAAGGACTCATGCATGCATTCCTGCCTCTACTTCCCCGCAAACGGTCAGCTGTAACCTGGAATTGTGGCCAAATAAGCCCTTTCTCCCTTAAAGGTGTTGTCCGTGTTATAGGATCACAGCAACAGGAAAGGAAACTGGCAGATGTTGGAAATGTCATTTCCAGCCCCCCTCCACAAGGCATACTGAGTCAGAAGCCTGAAACGGAACCCATTGGCCTGGCCTTTGACAAGCCCCTCCATGCGTGCTCAAGTTGGAGACCCTAGAAAATAAACCTAGAAACAGCAGACAGTGAGTGGGTGAAAGAGAGCGGGCCCAAGGGGTGTTGGCATCAGGGCCACAAACGTTCGGGGTTGTCTGTAGAAAGTCCCCTGCTTGCCCGTCATGCTGCCCCAACCCAGAGCCACTCACCCAGCTGCCCAAAAACATCTGGTAGGCTTTATTGCTAGTGCGCTTGGTGGCCAGGAGGAACGGCGGCCGGTTGACGTGTTTCTGTTCCGTCTCATGAGGAACCCAAAAACCAGGACCAGCTATGGCCTACGGTAGAGAGGGAAGACTGAGGAGGAAGCCCTAGTGATCTCGGCCCAAATTGGACAACAGGATAAACGGCAGCTGACCTCACCTGTCCATCATTACTGGGCCTTTCCTCAAATGATGAGGGAAGGGCAGAGCTGTGAACAGCACCCTGGGACTAAGGCATGCTGGGCCTGGAGCCAGAGAGCTGAATTCTATGTAAGGTCTCCTGGCTCCTACTTGCAAACCCAGTGAGCCCTTTTCAAGCTCCGCACCCCAGTTTCCTTTTTGTGCAATGCAAGTGCCTTTCTTGGGAGAAGGATGGACGGTGGCTAGCAGGCGGTTGAACTGTCCATGACCTTTGGTACAGGCCCTGCCTAGGAGGACTGACGAAAGCCAAGGCCCATGCAGAAAACTGGTCACTGTCCCCCAGAGAGAACTGCCTGGAGACCAGCAGAGCCTGGCTCCTCTCTGGGAAGAGCAGGTAGGCAAACTTGAGGATAAACCCTATCACGCCTCATCCTGCCCAGTCTTCTTTGCCCATTATCCAGATCTTTCTGGCCAGGGGAGGGAGGGCAGATAGGAAAGCCTTCCTGGTTGGGATTCCCTGGTAGCCTGGCTCAGCTATGGGCTCTACACCAGTAATTCTGATCACGGCTGCAAGTGCTGGCTACATTCTCAGACCAGGTGTATGGAGGGGCTCAGAAAGCGTCTAATCGGTGCAAGGCCAGACTGGCAACCAACCGGTCCCTAAGACACAGCTTCCCACCTACATGACCACGGCACCCCACCCCCATCAGCCTCCCTAGGCTGCTGGAGAGCTGCCTTCCAAGAGAGAGAACAGGCCGAGGGGCACACTCACTGAATCTCTGGGGTGCTGGCTAATGGTAGTCCAGTAAATTCTCTCTGTGGGACGTTTCGGATCTCGGGGATATTTCGAGAAAACCCCTCGTTTCCTGTTGTGATGTGAGTTAAGCTCTTCCACGAAGCTCTTGAAATTGGTCAGTTCCCTGGGCTTCTTTTTCTGAGAGGAATGGGAAGAGACAAAGGAGTGCTGTAAGGTCACAGGTTCACCGGCCCTCACAGAAGAGCACGTGGCACTTGAGGAGGGATGAGCCCTGATGGGTTTTTCCCCAACATGGTGAAAGTACTGCATCCGGTCACAAGAATCAAAGCCCATAGGACAGGTTGGGCCAATAGCTCACTGGGCAGTGGTATTCGCATCAGTCCCGGGACCTACGTAACAGAAAGAGAACTGACTCCTGAGTGTTGCTCTCTGACCACACACATGCCAGGGTGTGTACAGACACACACACACACACACACACACGATTGGTGGATTGGTGTAGGGTTTTGTTTTGCTTTGCTTTTTTTTAGATAAGGTCTCACTATGTACCCTTGGCTAGCCTGAAAATTTGCTATATATACCAGACTAGCCTCCAACTCAAAGAAATCCACCTGCCTCTGCCTCCTCCAGAACGCTGGGATTAAAGGTATATGAGCTCATGTCCAGCTTTTAGAAAGAAAGGAAGGAAGCAAATGGAAACAACCACAATCCACAGAATGACTACCATCAGGAGAATCGCTTTGTAAAATCGTGGTAATAAGGTCACATGCTTGAGGCCCCTTGACTTAACAAATGCGCTGCTCTGACGTGGGCCTCAAACCGTGGGGGAGGGATGAGGAAAGAGACTAAGGTGAGTGTGACCCCTGGGACCCAGCTAGTGGAAGGAGAGGGCCGACCCCTGCAAGGTGTCCTCTGTCCCCACCTGCACGCCATGAAACAGTCCCTCGGGCCCAAATAAATAAGTGAGTGTGCACTTGGAGAGATTTCTTCTGGGGAGGGTCTGCATGTGGTGTGGGAGGCAGCGGGAATGCAGAAACTGTTTTGTTTTGTTTTTTTTGTTTGTTGTTGTTTTTTTTTTTGTTTTTTTTTTTTTTTGCCTCTCAGCTTTTCTGTGAACCTAAAATTGCTCTAAAGAATAAAATGAAATCTCGAACAGAGAGGTTCAAGCAAAGAGGTTCGGCCCTGGCTGTGGTACCAATGAAGGAGGGGGCGTATCCCAAGGCCCCTGCTGTGCTGGGCAGTGGCCTTAGCGGTAGATATCTGGGAGACCCTAGGATCAGCCATGCTATAGGGTGTAGTATGGTGACTACTTGGTCACATTGTCCCCACATTAACCCCTTCCTTTCTAACGCTGCTAACACTATCTGCCACCGCAACCCTCTCCTACTAAAGCTGCCGGTTTTGGTTTTTGTTTGTTTGTTTGTTTGTTTGTTTGTTTGACTCTGTGGTGGGGACAGGACATATACCCGACCTCAACAACCGTAAACATGAAGAGGGCAAAACAGAGAGCCACACAGTCTTGGTGGGGGGGAGGGCTTGATGAGGGTGGGAAAGGAGTCTGGCAAACTAAATTCCTAGCTCAGTCTCCTCTCCCACCTTCCAGGTCAGGGCTCTGTTAGCTACAGCACTGCCACTAACCCAGCTAGGCTAGCTGAGTCCATGAAGCCTGGGAGATGTTTACAGGCGGACACTGGGCCTGTGCCCTTGTGGCCCCTGCAGCCGTGGCTGGCAAGTAGCCTCCCGGGCCTGGCATGCTGGGACACCTGTATATCAGTGCAGTTCATCCTAGGGAGAGAACTAGCCACAGGATCAGATGAGCAAACCAAGGCTCTGAGCCATCACCGTCTGTGTGGCCAACCCGTTTCCTCACCCAACACAGGAAACCACACCCCACCCTGGCAGGGGCATAAGAGTGAGCAGTGTGTGAAGAAGACGCCCTCCCCAGCAGCCAGCACTCGGCACACAGGGCCACGGCCTGCCGGGGATAGGCGAAAAGCCACACGCTCAGGTACAAACCTCCACAGAGTAGTACCCATAGGACACAGGCTTGCTTCGTTCGCCGGAGAAAATGTCATAGGGGCCACGCAAACTGGTGGTTCGTGTCACATAGTCCTCGATCGCACTCCTGATGTTGTAAGTCCCGGGTCCCAGGCCACTGCCCTAGAAATAAAAGGGGTGTGGGGGGCTGTAGGGGAGTGGCTGGGGCACCCCCCCCCCCCGCCCAGAGGAAGGATGAGCCTGGCCGGGACGGGGAGAAAGTACCTCATGTAACAAGGGTAGTGGCTTGTTGGACATCCTAGACATAAGGCCCTCGGAATGTGAGCGGTTCCAGGCGCCCTCCTCCAGCCGCGTGTATGGGTTACCTTTCTCTCCGTAATTTCCAGGGCCCGGGTAAAAATTCTGCAGGGGCAGGAGACAGAAACACAGAGGCTTACAATGCTTTCACTCACCCCTCCCCGGAGTACCTTTCCTACCCTCTGGTTTGCCAGCCATATCAACCCTGCAAAGATTCCCCTGGACACCATCTCTTCCTGGGACCACACCTTCCTCCCCGGCACACGAGCAGCTGCTCTGCGGCCTCAGTACAGCTACCCTCCACATCTACAGCTCTGCGACCAGCTCCCTCGCTGTGCTGTGAGCAGCCTGGGATGAGTGAGCACCCGGGGTCCTAAGAAGGGACCCTGGTTCTGCTAGTTCCTAGCTGGGGGAGCTTGGGCCTGTTGAACCTCATGGTCCATGGGACTAACACAGAGGTGGCAATACTTTCCTTCAGGGGATAATGACAGAGTCACACAAGTCGAGGGGAGGTGACAGAAAGTCTTGGGGGCAGAAGAACTGAACAGGAGTTGGTCTTTGATGTGCAGTGGGCAGAGCTAGTCTGTAGTGCAGGGAGGTGGCAGGATTTCTGAGGGGGCGATATGCACCTTTTAGCCACATGGGGGCACTGCTGTCCCAAAAATAATGCAACTCAACCCATACCTGGACCTGGCAACCAGACCCTAGGGGAGTCAGACCTGGGAGGGGGGGGGGGGGGGGCAGAGGGCAGGGCCAGTGCTAGGGAAATCAGGCCACTGTGAGGATCAGGTCTGTCTGTCCCGAAAGAACGAGACTGAGTCTTGCTTCCTTCCATGGCTCAGATGCCAGCGCATGAACAGAGCATGAGTCAGGCGGCATGAGTCCCCTCGGCTCGTGACCTGCAGGTTTTGTGCCAGTGGGGCCATCCCAGACTGCTCTCTGTAAGTCACCTCCTTTCCTACGTCGTTTTGCCTCAAAACTCTGACCAGATATGTATTTCCTTCACACTGCAGAGCGTGCCACTAAGACGCCTGCTCTTATGTTCTGTCACTGCCAGAGCCCTTTCCCCCAAAGCCCAGTTCAGTAGATCGCATTCTGCTGTTGCTTGTTCACTATTTCCTGGTTGGCCAGCTAAGCGAACAAGTGTCGTTGAGTTTCTCATATACTCTAGGTTTCTTCTGAGACTTAGAGACGAACCACACTCATCTCCCTTCTGGAAAATATCACAGCCACTGGGCTCAAGGCTGAGACAGGAGAGAGCAGAAGGGCTGAGGAGGAAGGCCAAGCCTAGCCTTGGCCTAGGTTCCAAGAAGGGTGCTTTCTCAAACTATCCAAGTGTCAGCACTTCCCACAGAGGACAGGGCGGAAGAGACGAGAGCACCTACCCCAATAAGTCCCCGGAAGCGTATCTCCCCAGAGCTGAGCAGCCCCCGTTTGCTCTGTGGTTTCTCCTGCAGCTGGGTTAGGAAGTCTTTGAAGTTGTAGGATCCAGGTCCTAGCTTGTGCACCTGCCCCAAGAGAAGAGACCTCAGGATGAAAACGGAACCGGGGAAGGTCCAGCCAGGAAAGAGCCCAAAAGACAACGGTGCTGTCCCCAAAGTTCACCTGCTGTTGTCTTTCCTTCATGATGGCCTGGTACTGGAAGTGGGGTAGCTGGGTCAGCCGGGTGGCTTCTTGGGCCCGTGCCCAGCCTGTGCCCAACTTCTGTTCCAGGAACTTCTTGCTGAAGCAGGTATCTTTGGAGTTATAGGTCCCAGGTCCTATGTGGGCCTAAGTTAGGCCAGGTTCAGAGATGAGCCCGTCATAACTACCAACTCACCCCACTCCAGTCCTTCCCAAGTCACCCTTGACAGTCCCCCAGCCTAGTACCCAGGGGCTCAGCACTCAAGATGGAGTCCTGATGGCCTCGGCCACTGGCCCTTCCCACTTCAGGGAAATACAGTACAGAGTCAGGCTGATGCATGAACTGGAGAAGAGGAAGCCTGCGCAGCCCTTTCTCCTGTTTTGTTTTGTTTTTTTCCCCCCACAGCCCTGAGTTTATCAAACATATCTGAAGCCGAGTGTGAGGCGAGCCTGGGCTGGAGGGCGCACAGGTGGTCTGGGGTAGTGACACAGACCACACGAGAGGAGGCAGGCTCACCAGGTCCACGGAGTGATGCCTGGAGTATGGGGCCTCTGTGAAGGTACTGAATTTCTTCAGGTTGGGATAAACAGCAGAGACATCAAACCTAAGAGAAGTATGTAGCTAAGTGGGAGCCGAGGGTCTGATATCTGGCCCTGACCGGAGCGGCCCCCAGGGACGGGGGGGGGTTGGTTTCGCAGGGGAGGTGACTTTGGAAATGGCCCATGGAAAATCACTTTGGGTCTGCTTTATTGTTCTGAGAGTTCCAGAGATGTTCTGCCGTGAACCATCCCACCCTCTGCTCTGCTTCTCCTCACAACTTCGCTTTCATGGAAAGTCCTTTTCTTTCTCCTCCCCACTGCTAGGCAGATAGACCTGTCATACTGCGTGACATACGCTTTGTCATCTTTTGTATACCTTTAATTATATAGGACCATTATCCACACCGCCTCACAACCTAGAACCACAGTAGGTCACATAGTAGGTCGTTTATATGCAGCCGTATCAAATAATATAAAAAGAAATGTGACAGCTGGGCATAATGGTGCCCACCTTTAATCCCAGTACTTGGGAGGCAGAGGCAGGTGGATCTCTGTGAGTCTGAGGCCAGCCTGGTCTATTTAGTGAGTTCTAGGACATGCAGGGTTATTTAGAGAGACTCTGTCTCAAAAAAAAAAAAAAAAAAAAAAAAAAAAAGACGACAAGAAGAAAGAAAGAAAAAGAAAAGAGAAAGGAAGGAAAAGAAAAGAAATATGACCTCTGAGCTGCAAACCCCCTGAGAACGTTGTAGCTGAGTGTTTCCTGGGCAGGCCTTGTGGCCATTCTGAAGACTTTACATAGAAGATGTTCTGGGAGCACTTCACAAGAACTTACTACGGAAGTGGAACAGAAAACCAAAGAATTTAGAGGCCAGACGTGGTTGGGCCCACGGTTATTCCCAGCACTTAGAGCGCAACGGCAATCTCTGTGAGTTCAATGCCAGCCAGGGCACACAGTGAGTTGGGGGGTGGGGGGAGGAAGAAGAAGAGGAGGAGGAAGAAGAAAACTCAGCATGGTAGAGCCTGGGAGGAAAAGCAAGTGTGTGGAGGGGGGGAGGGGAGGCAAGCCAGCCCTCCTCCTGTCGTCCTCCTCCCGGCTCCAGCCCTCTGGGTTAGCCTTCTTCCCCGAGACAGAAGAGCTGCTGGGGCCCGCAGGAACTCCCTCGGACTCTGGTCGCCAAACCATAAAGCAGTCGGGCCCACCTGTGACTCTGCACACCAAAGGGCGCCCCTTTAAACCACTTCGGGGCGGTGGGCATGGTGTTGCGCTGGGGGGGTCAGTGGCGCGAGGTCCCGCTGAGCCTAGCCTCCAGCCTGCCCCCCACCCCCACCCCCGCCCCCGTCCTGGCGCCGCAGCTTCTCTTCCCCCTGACACCTAGCGCTGCCAAGGCAACCCGCAACCAGGGCGTTGTGATTCAGCAAGCGCAGACCTGCTTCGTGCCACGCGGGAGGCTGCCAGCGTGCTGGCTGCCCGCTGACGTTTTCATTCATTTTTATAGTCCCAACGCTGCCTTGCCAGAGAGCCTTCCCGGGCTCCTGTAGATCTCGGGGTGTCCCTGGGGTTTAATGAGTGAGCGCCTGTCACCCGCTGAGAAGCGGTTTATTTCTACCAGGGAGACTCAGGCTCGGGAATCGCCTCCATGCGCACCTTGTGTTGAGGGAAGAGCAGGCTTGGGAATTCTGTTTCTTCTCTAACTGGAGGGAACTCTGGAGGGGCAGCTGGATGGAGCGGGGAGGACGGAGGAGGAAGGTGGAGAGATGGGTGGCACAGATCTGCCTGTAGCTGCTCGTGTCTTCCCTTCTACAGTGATCCTCTTGGAGTGCAGGACAGCTTGAAGAAATGGTGGAAGGTGCAAGCCAAGGGACAGGGGCCAGAGTCCTGGCTGCAAGACGAGCCAGAGCAGGCCAGGGTGGGTCAGCTTTGTCCTGAGGCCACCTGCCCTGCACAGTCCAGCCCCTTCCCGTAATAGAAACGTCCTCGTCTGGCCAACTTAAACCACTCTCTTTCCTTACGAGTGAAAGAAAGCTGAGACTCAAACGGAATAAACTGTCCTGGCCACATCTTGTAAAGCATGTGGCCACACAGCCCAACCCAGGACTCAACACTTGAGAGATCTATAGCTGTTCAGGCCTGACCCACCCAGAGTAGGTCAGGGCAATCAAGCCGTGCTTCTCAGGCAGCCTGGAGACTGCACAGAGGCTTTCTCCACTTCCTTTAGGTCTTATCTCTTGCCACCTCTTTCCCGTGCTCTGTGAGCTCCAGTTATGGGCAGCTCTGGCCCTGGAGTTCACCCCTGGTTGCATTGAAAAAACACTGGCCTTTTCAAACTTCCCCAGCTCCTGAGACACCCACGCCCACCGGCTCGCTCCCGTCCCTCTCAACTCTTGCTCATAGTCGTAGAGTTGGCTCAAAAGTCTAGCCCACCCACCAGGACGGTTAATATGGACAAAATGAGGGAAAATGACATGTTGACGAGGACGTAGAGACACTGGAAACTCTGTGCTTTGCGGACGGGGAAATAACAGTGGTTCTGCCGCTTTGGAACAGTACAGTGGCTCCTCGCAGACTTACAACATGACCCAGCAACTCTGTAAACCCGAACACATACACGCGTAACATAACCCTACTTGTAGCAGCACCGTTCGCAATAACCATCACCCACGTATTTACCGTGGTAAATGATGGACAAGGAGTAACAGATGCAGACCGTGCTGGCTATGGGACATTGCTCATTCTTAAGAAGGGAGGGAGGATCCTCAGCAATGGCGTACACTGTACTCCCAGTACTTCGGAGCCTGAGGCAGTAGGAGAGTTCCAGACCAGCCAGGGCTACGTAGTGAATATGAAGCCAACCCGGACTACATAGAGACCCTGTCTGAAAAAAAATAAAATAAAGCAAAAAGTTCAAAAACAAGGGAAATTCTTACTCATGCCACATTGTGGATGAAACTTGAAGCCATTATGCTGAATGATAAGCCAGACATAAAAGAACAAATGTTGTTTTACCTGCATGAAGTGTTACGGTATTCAAATAAGTGGAGTGTCCATTAGTAGGCGCTTGTGAGATGTAATCCTATCTCCATCACTGAGCTGCATTTCCTACCCTTCTAAAAATTATTTTGAAATAGGGTCTCACATGTCAGGCTGATCAGATGGGCCCTGGAGCTGGCAATGCCCCTGTCGCAGCCTCCTGAGTAACTGATATTAAGACATGAGCCAGCGCTTCTGGTGGGAGTTATCGTTTAAGCGGCTGTGGAGGAGTTTCAGTTTGAGGAGATGAAAAGGCTTCAGAATTGGAAGGTGGCGATGTTTCCACAGAAATGTGAACGTGCTTCATGCCAGTAGGCTGTACGCTTAAAATGCCTGCGTGCGGTGGTGTGCCCAAAGGGCAGCGCCAGACTGAGCTGTGTGATCGCGAGGCCAGCCTGGTGCCTCTAGTGAGTCCCAGGCCGGATCCACATAGGGCAGCCAAGACACACCTGTGCCCCCACCACACAGACACACACAATAAAAGCATCTGTTAAAGGTCAAAATGCGAATGTTTGTTATTAACTATTTACTAACACAATCTGAAAAAACAAAATTAGAAAACTAAGTTCTCAGGCAGTCAGGCAGTCCCTCCCTGATACTCCCAAAACAGTGAGAGGCTGCTTCATCTAATTATTGACAGCAACCTATGGTAAGTTTTGCATTAGAAATCATTAAATAATTACTTTAAATCTAAAACTAGTGGGTGAAAAAAATAGCACCCAGATGTTTTGACTTGAAAATATTGCTGAAGTGCTTTTTTTTTTTTTTTTTTTTTTTTTCTCAAATTCACTTAGCGGGTCCATTTTCTCTTGTGAAAATGCTGGTCTTCGGAGGAGACTGAGGGTGGTAAGAGCCGCAGACGATAGATGAGTGGGGAAGAGTCCAAGGTACAGACTGCTGGAAAGCCTAGTCTACAGGGAACTCTGCGTGGCCGCAGTCCCATCTGCACAGTAGAAGCCTGATGAGCGCTGCAATCTGAGAGGGAGGTGGCAAAGAGCAAGAAAACAGGAGGCAGGGAGCAGGACCGTCCTGGCGCCAATCCGGAGAAGGGAAGTCCACACACATTCAAAGCAGCTCTTCATCCGTTTTACCTGTTAATCTCCCTGGCCCTCGGAGGGTACTCCGTCAAGTCACGGAGGAGGAAAGCCGGTGTGTAAGGGATTGTGCTTTATCAGGGATGCAGAAACAAAAGTGGACCTAGCACTTGGGGGGCAGGGGAGAGCCGGAACATTCCATCGAGCGGCCAGATGCACACTTGGCCAGAGAAAGACCAGAGGGCGGTGGCCTGCTGTGTTCAGCGGAAGGGCGCTGGACCGCAGGGGAGCACTGGGCTGAGGGAGACTTGCACAGCAGGAAGGGCCTCCTCTGACAGCTCCGTGTGGAGGGCGGAGCAGTGCCAAGGGAGGAAGGACCTGGCCGGCCTGGGCAGCCTGAGGTTCCAGGTCTCCTTGGGTATGCCCTGGTTCTGTGACCTTGGCCAAGCGCCTTTCTCTTCCGAGCCTGTTTCTTCAGTCTGCTGAGTCGTTAAAACCTGCCTCTTTGGCACTCACGGAGTTCCTGGGCCTCGCGTTTGGCAATGCACCACGCCTGTTTTTCAGACACATCTGCTTGTGCAATGCTGATGTCTAGCAGCGAAAGCGGAAACACCCACAGGGCGAGCCCTTGGCTGGCTCTGGGAGCCACCCACTTGCGAGAGGTGCCCGGGACCGTCGTGCGGGGCTCCCTCCGGGGCCGCTCCATCCACTGTGCTTGGGGGAGCTAGGGGAGGGCAGGACGGCCCAGGGCCAGCCATGGCGGAGCCCGAGGCTGGGGACCTGGAGACTCTCATCGACCAACTGGACTACCTGCCCGGCCACTTCCACCTGGAGATGCAGCTCAACTTCGAGCCGCGCTCCCCGGCTCAGCTGCGCGCCCGGGACCTGAAGCTCCAGCTGGAGGGTCTGCGGCAGGAGCTGGGACTAGTGGCCACCCCGCAGCTGCCTGCTGTGCGTCACCTCCTGGGAACCTTTTCCTTCTACCTGGAGAAGCTGGATGAGGCCCGCGAGCGTTTCCTGGAGGTGGCCCGCGAGGACCCCGGCAACCTCAACGCCTGGGCCAATCTGGTACAGGTCTACGGGCAGCTGGGCCAGGAGGACGAGGAGGAGGCGTGCGCCGCGCGGCTGGCGAGCCTCATGGGCCTGGCAGGTGACCCCGAGGATTCTGGGGACCTCCGTCTCCGCGCCGCCCGCTGCCTGGCGGAGCAGGGATACGCACATGGCTTCGACGTGGGCTGTGCCAGCCCGGAGGAGCACTCTCAGGTGCTGGAGGCGGGCATCGCACTCTACGACAAAGCGCTGAGCTACGGGCAGCAGGTGGGTGCTGGGAGGGCTGTAGTCATCGATTTCCTTTGCTGGGATGCGTTCTTGGCTGCTGCCTACCTAAGCTCTCTGTTTCTGCGCTGAGGCGAACCCAACCAGGCTAACTCATCCCTTCTCCCTCCTCCGCCAGCAAGTAGCTGTTGCCAGTCGTATGCCACAACTAAAAAGAGGCACGACCGAACACCAAAAGACCTGTCAGATCTTTCTTCCTCCTCTCTCCCCTCATCCACCTGTCCATTTAGACCCCAGATTTTGTCAGCTCTATTGCCTCGGCTTCTAAGATCTTCCCTCTCCTCCCCAGCCTTCCTCTGCCAGCCCAGCCCCCCCGAAACTTCTTTCCTGGACTTTGGGGTTGCTCTCTAGCCCTCCTTTCCTGCCTCATGCTTCACACAGCCGCTGACGCAGCTGCTGCACCTCAATGCCATGTCCTCAGTTCAGCCCCCTCCCCACTGGCTGGCAGAATGGCTTCTAGCCATGAGTGACATCTGAGCCCCTCCTCCAGGCTTTCACTACTTCCCACATCCACTCACTCTATACCCAGCACACATCCCTGCCACCCCCCCTCCCCCGCCAGTGGGCGGGCTCCTTACAGTGTTCTTCCTGTGTCTCCTCTGCCTCTTCCTGGGGTACCTCCTGCTCCTGTGGCCTGCATAGCCCTCTGTAGCTTTCAGATTTGTCTCAAAATTCCCCTTCCAAGGAAGCCTCCGTGATTCCAAGCTGGTCACAGCATCCCCAGAGCTGTTCCAACAGTCCCCCAAGCCTGTCCCTCCCGCTCAGTCGCAACAGTTTCAGGAGCGGGGAAAACAGCGTTCATCAGATTTCTCACTGTAAACCGGCGTGGCTGGCACACAGTAACACTCACAGGTCCTGGCACTAAATAGATCCTATTACGCTTGTCATCTGTCATGCAAATCAAGGATCGTGTGTTCAGCAGTCTATTCAGTAAGCACATCTGAGTGAGCAGCCCTGTGAGTCTGGAATCTGGGTGTGGTTCTAACCAGTGCTGGGGGCAATGGTGTCCTCTGAAGGTCTGCCTGACTGGGGCCTTCCACAGCCACACCAGTTCACCCTCAGTAGAGTCTAGTCCCCAGCTGGCTGTTGATACTTTTTGCTGTACTCTGTCTCATAGAAACGAGTCGCTGGATCCAACCTATGCTGCAGGGGAGGGGGTTATGCAGGTCAGAAATGCCAGCAGGTGGGCTCCCTGGGGCCATTCTGGAGGCCTCCTGTCACTGAGGCTGATGAAAGAGGGATGTGGGAAAACATTCCCTTGAGAGCAGCGGTTCTGGCCTCCATTCACAAAGCCTTGACACGCATACATCTTTTTCGAGAAAGCATACAGGTTCTTCAAGGAGAAATGTTGGAATGACAACCTCTGCAAGGCCACGTTGAAGGGCGTGGACTTGACCTAAGGATAACAGTGCAGGGTAGAGGTCAAGAGGGGACTTAGGCTGAAAGAGCCCGGGTTCAAGGCCCAGCTCCATGAGATGTCCACGCCAATCAGCTGGTACCAGACTCTCCAAGTGCCCTTTCCCTCTTGGTGAAATGAGATAATGATGGCAAGTGTGTCATAGGCTTTCTCATCAGTATAATGGTGGCACCATTTGTTTGATGACATAATTAAGCATTAATGTCTTTAAAGTCCCTAGAATGGGTCTGCGCAGAGACAGCTGTAGGGGATACTCCATTTTCTACAGAGGTTCCTCCACCCACAAGCTACGTATAGCTGTGGACATGACTGTGAGCCGGGTCCTCCAATCTTGAATCCTGAACTTGATGTCAAATGGCAGGCCGCTGGGCATGGGAGATGCAGCCAGCACGGTATGTGTCCAGTGTGGTTGAGGTCACAGATCACAGCAACACACTGTGGCGTCTAAAACGCCCCAGGTGGGGAGCTGGAGACTCAGGGACTAGGTGACACCCACAGGAGAGGTTTCTCACCACACTGCCATTTCCCCGTCTGTGGAATAGCACAGGAAGGGAGACTTAACAGCTACCAAGGTCCCTTTCTAACCTCAGGAGGTGCCGGGGGTGGGGGACAAAGCTTCCTAGAAGAGGCAGTGAGGGAGGCAAAGGTTTAGGAGTGGCAGGCAGACAGGTCTGCTCTTCCCTGTCTGTATAATCACCACAGGTCACAGTGGTCACTGCCCAGCCAATGGTCAGCCAGAGGATGGAATGCTTGGAGATTGTTGCTTTGGGGAGCTGCCTCTCAGTTCTGGGCAGAGCAGCTGTGGCAGGGGAGAGGTAGGGTTTGCCCCCCTGCCAATGGGGCATGCTTGTGCTCATGAAGTGTCTGGTACTGTGTACATGCTCAATAAATAGGACAGCGGTGATGATTCCAGCAGGCAGAGTCAGGGACTTGGGCTGGAGAACTCATCTCTGTTACCGTTTTACTGTGTGGCTTCAACAAGCTTTGTTGGAGGTTGGTCTGATGCGTGTTACTGGCCCTCAAGATCTGGATACACCTATCCTTGCTTTGTAAACCTGCCTAAGACATACCTGATTGTTGATTAAATGGCCTATACCTGGATGGGGCAGAATGGGGTAGGCGTGGCTAAGGTTTCCCGGGCTTCTGGGATGAGAGAATCGTGGGAGACAGACTGATGTAGAGAGAAAGAAGGAGGACAACAATGGGTTAGCGAGGAGAAGGAACCATGTGGAGAAGGACTCCAGTGATGGCGTGGAAAGGCCCAGATGGCAAAGAAAAGCAAGTACCATGGGATTATGGATGAAAGGTAGTCCAGATGAGGATGGTTAAGGCAGATGGCATTGGATGGGGGCTGGGAGATGGATGGTGAGGATATTGAGACAGCGTACGTGAAATACCTGCCCGGCCCAAGGTAAATTAGACAATTATAAACCTAACAGGTGTCTGTGTCTTATTAATGGAATAGCAGGTTAGATTATACTGCTGTGATAATCTTAGGGCTAATAATAAATATTATATAGCCCAACAGTCATTTTTAAAATTTACTACAACAAAGCTTCTGTCTCTGGCCTCCGTGCAGAGGTCATAGATGCCAGCACTGAGCTCTGAGTCTCTGCCGGAGATGTACTGTGATCGTCCTGTCAAATAATAGAGAGACCTGGGGATGCCAAACAGGTGGTTGCTAAATTTCTCCTCATTTATCCAGTCCCCACATTGAGCCAGGCATGGTGACACATTCCTTTAATCTCAACACTTGGGGAAGCAGAGGCAGGTGGATCTCTATGAGTTTGAGGCCAGCCTGGTCTACATAGTGAGTCCAGGACAGCCAAGGCTACACATAGAAACCTTATCTTGAAAAAAAAAAAAAAAGTCCCCACATTAAGAAGCCCCTGAACAACAGAAAAGCAAACATTATTTCCTTCACTAGTCACCTTTCTCTGTGAGCAGAAGCCAAGGGAACAAATTACAAATTAGACATGTCCCACAGAGAACTGAGGTCATGGGCCCATGGCACAGGACAGTCTAAGTATTGAACACCGGTGAGCACACATTCTGAGACAAAACCAGTTCCCCAGGGCCTGACCATGGACACAGACTTCAGAGGCACATGGGGGCCCAATGTTGGCATCATCAGTGACCTGGGAAATCCAGGTCCTGCGGAAGGGAGAAGCAGTAAGCAAATTCTGGAGAAGTAATGCCTTCCAGCAGAAAGGGCTGGTGGAGCCTTCTGGAAGAGAAGAGGCACTTCCTGCTGCCTGTAGAGGCCCTGCAGCAGGAGCCTCCAGGGCATGAGGACTGCAGAGACAGTTGGCCTGGAGCAGGAGACTAGGGCCTGAGGAGGCAGCCTGAAGCTCTGTAGAGATCACGTGATGATTCAAGAGCTACCGACATGGGCTCTGAAACTGGGCCCCACCTTCCTCTTCAGCCACATTTCCCCTGACTCTGTCCGTCCTTGTCACATCCCAGGCGGCTTTATCCCTCCCCGTGTAAGATTGCCCTCTGCCTAGAAAGCAAATGCATCCATCAGAGCCTAGCCCCACACACTTGCTCCTGGGAGCCTCCTCATGTAGCTGCCCCCTCTGGGCACCTCCCAGCATCATCTTACACCGGAACCCTGTGATTCAGTTGAGAGACCGGGAGCTGAGGCACAGCTAGCAGCTTGCCTGAGGGTACTGAGCTGGTGAGTGGGAGCTGAATAGTCCCATTCTAACTTACCTGAAGCCCTTTGCTTTCCTCTGGGATCAGAGAAGGAAGGCAGAGGGAGACCCCTCCAGAGCGCTCAGAAATCTGGGATGCGGAGTGCTGAGAGAGCTCGGGTAGGCCAGTCACCATTTGCTGGGGAGATCGCTGAAGGCAGAAGGTGGAGGCACTCAGGGTGGGAAGCAGGAGGAAGGACTCCCCAGCTGCAAGAGTTAGCACTTGCGGGAGCAGTGGAGGTGGGCTGTGGCCATCAAAGCTCATGCAGTGCAGTGCAGTGCGGGAGGGTGGTGGGGGTGGCTGGTACAGAGCTACCTGTTGGGAGGGGCTACAACAGACAGGGCAGGACGAGCCAGGAGCTCCTCAAGGCCAGGGGACAAATGACTGCTGTTGAACAGTGGCTGCTGGTCTTCTAACTCCTACTACAAAGACAGCAGTGTGAAAGTGTGAGGCTGCTCGTTCTCCTTGTAAATGTTGTATGTGTGTGTGTGTGTGTGTATCTTTGGGATGTCTGGTCTCTGCTCTTCATTCCCTTTTGGGAGGTTTGGGGTTGCGGTACTGGGGCTGGGATCCAGGCCTTGCTACACTACACCCGCATTCTGTTACTGAAGGCCTGCTCCTCTTTCTTGACAAAACTCCAAAGAGATGGGTTGTGTTGATCTTTGCTTCCTCTGAATACCATCTTTATACACACATAGACACACAGACAAGCACATCCGCACACCACACACAGAGACACGGACACACACATACAGTACACACATATAGACACACACACTCTCTCTCTTTCACAGAGAGACAGAGGGACACAGGGAGATAGGCAGAGGGAAAAGAAGAGAAAAAGAGACAGACTGATTTTCAGTGGTTCCTGGTCACGAACTCAAGGTTCCATGGGCATTAGCACAAAGTTGCAGTTGCCTCCTGCACTCAGGAGGCAGAGGCAGGCAGATCTCTGAGTTCAAGGCCAGCCTGGTCTATAGAGTGAGTTCCAGGACAGCCAGGGCTATACAAAGAAACCCTGTCTCTAAGCCAAATCAAATCAAAACAAAACAAAAAGCATAAAATTTGTCTTTAGACCAGTGGTTTTCAATCTTCCTAAGGCTATGACCCTTTATTACAGTTCCTCATGTTATGGTGACCCCCCCCAGCCATAAAATTATTTCCATTGCCACTTTCTAACTGTAATTTTGCTACTGTTATGAATCATAATGTAAATATCTGTGTTTTCTGATGGTCTCAGACAACCTCTGTGAGGGTCTCAACTCACTGCTTTTGACAGATCCAGAGAAGATTCTGCCCCCTGTCACAGGTGGCTGCAGTCTCTGAGCCTCGGTTTCTGCCACATGAGATCCCAACACAGCTGTCTCAGCGTTGCTGGGAAGGGACAGGAAAGCACCAGATGGGATGCAGATTGGTATCCTGTGCAGTTGTTTCCTGACCCTCGGGCCCCAGCATGCACTGTGCACGGCTCTGGACCAGACAGCATCTGTGGAGGGAATTCTGTCTTGTCTCCTGAGGGACAAGGCTCATGTCTCATCCTGCCTTTGTTACCAGCCCCCAACAGAGGGTATTGAAGGCCTGAACACCTGAGCAGGAGTCCTTTGACTATTTTTAAAAATAATTTATTTCATTTTTCTTAATTTTATTTTATGTGCATCAGTATGAAGGTGTCAGATTTCTTGGAACTGGAGTTACAGACAGTTGTGAGCTGCCATGTGGGTGCTGGGAATTGAACCCTGGTCCTTTGGAAGAGCAGACAGTGCTTTTAACCACTGAGCCATCTCTTCAGCCCCTTGTGACTATTGTTAATTTGTTTTGTCTTGTCTTGTTTTTTTGAGACAGGGTTTCCCTGTGTGTAGCCTTGGCTGTCCTAGACTTACTTTGTAGACCAGACTGGCTTTAAGCTCACAGAAATGTGCCTGCCTCTGCCTCCTGAGTGCTGGGATTAAAGATATGTGCCACCACCCAATTACATATTTAATTGAGTTGAATAACTCAATTTTAAGTCTTAAAAAAAAATCTGTTTTTTTAAGTAAACTTTAAAAAAAACTTACATTAGAACTTTTCTATTTCTCCTGAAAAAAAAAATATCCCCAGTCACTCAGTTATTTCATTTTTATTCCCTTTTCCTAAAATATTGGGGGCTTAATGCATATACTTGAGCATTCATACATGCGCAGACACGCGCACTCATGTATACACACTCACACGTGAGCACATACATGCGTGTTCACACTGTTGCTAAAACTTCTTCTCTTGGGGAGACACGAACAGTGTCCACCCCCTTTCTAAGGTTCCAGTGACAACACAAGATCCAGTCCCACCAAAGTTCACCGTGGGGAGCCGATGAGTTGCTTATTCACCAAGCAACGGGTGAGGGCTCAGGGGTTACAGGAAGGAGCACTGGGAAGTCTGAACTGAACTCAGTGTGAATGATGACTCCCTTCTGGCTGGGTGGCGCGAGTTCCCCTTTCCCACCCAAATCCTCCAGCCTCCCATGTGCAATTAGGACAGAACTGCCTACAACTGGTCGAGGGGTAGCTGGATACCCAGATTGTGGGTCCCCTGACTCTCTCTGCCCCTTCTAAGAGGGAAGGTGAAAGGCCCAACAGCTCTGAGCTTTTCTGAGCAGGCCAGCAGAACTCCTGAAGGTGGTGGTCGCTTTGCTTGGAGGGCGGCCCTGCACAACATGTGCCTGCCGATACAAAAGCAGATTCACACGTGAACACACATGAACACTCACTTGCACACGTGCATGCCCGCACAAGTGCCCACATGTGCCCGTGTTCATATACTCACCCACGGCCCCTCCCCCACCCCTCTCAGCCCGCCTCGGTAACCCTAAGACCCACTCCAAACCCCAGCCTGGGGGCTGTCTGAGCTTGGAACTTCGCTTTCATTAGCATTTTGACCTGACTCACACCTCACAGACCCACTGCCGGCTAGGCACCTGTTTCCCCTCACACACAGGGCCCAGCAGGCCCCAGGGGAAAAGCAACCTTCCAGGGGGGACCCAGCGCACTCACATCATTTGGAGTTCACCATCAGGGATGCCTTGGGCCAGCGTCACACACAGAGCGGGCATTCCATCTTTCATGCTCAGCAGGGTTCAAGGGGACCCTCAGTCAGCAACCCCGGGATTCCTGTGTGTCCTGGGTGCAATGGGGCACAAACACACCTCTGTTCAGCTAGGAACAGAGGAGGATGAAGCCAGACCCCGGGCTGCCGAGCTGAGCACAGCCCATGCCTGTGATTTTTCTCTGTCGCCTCACTCGATCCCCTAGAAATGCTGGCAGTAAACCGTTATCAATACCCCTCCACACCCGAGGGGGCAGAGGCTCCGAGAGGTACAGACTTGCCCAAGGGCACACAGCCTTGAGTGACAGGCTGGGACCAAACGCAGGTGCATGTGCTCAGGGCACAAGGTTCCTGCCTCAGAATCGCTATGTCCTTGGGTCCCCTCATCTTTGCTACTCATTGCTTCTGGGGCTGCTGCTACCCTCTCTCCCCACTTACCTGGTAACTTTGAGGGCTGGGTCTCCACGGTCTCATAGATACAAAACCCCAGAGGTTAGTTGCTTTTAGCATCAATTGTACCTGACAGAAGAAATAATCACCATGGGGTGCTACACAGTGGAGCCCCTGGGGAGCCGAGGAGAGCCAGCCCCACTGTTCTTACTTGAGAGGGCACAAGATTTCCTCAGGCCCACAGCCACGACAGACCTTGGAGTCTGCCTTGGATCCACAACAATGTGGTTCCTCAAGGTGCAGTCAGTGTGGGCACCACACGAGGCAAAGACAATCCACCGGGCCTGCAGATGGGACGGACTAAGGGACCACAGGGAGCTGCAGTTGATCAGCTCAGAGCTTGAAGTCCGGGTGGACTCTCTAGGGGACCAAAGATGACGATACTCACTTCCAAGGCACGGCACTCAATTCCCAAACATCCTCCACCAGCCCATTTGCTACCCCACCTCCAAGAAGCGTCTTAGGCAGGCAGGAAGTTCACAGACACAGAGACTGGCTCGGTGACCTCCTGGGATCCCTGGTTGGAGGAGGTTGGGGGGCCTCAAACTTCTGTTATTCCACTCATGCCATGAGGCAGGTAAATGAGAACCCTGTCAGTGGGGCGGAAAGAACCTCTCCCTGTCCCGTGCTGGCTGTGTCACCCCTGAAGACATTCCAGTTGTGCTAGAAGGACACATTCCTAGGCAGGCCTGACACCTCTGCAGTGTCAGCCCTCACAAGGTCAGAGATGTGGTTGAAAGACCGGTTTTTGGAGGGAGGCAGATCAGAACCTGCATCCTGGCCCTCCTGCCTGGACTGTGGGCTTGAGCTGTGGCTGGTAGGCTGTTTTCTAATCCAGATGAGAAAAGAGACTCTACTTTTCCAAGGCAGCCGAAAGCCCGGAAGCTTCCTCCTTCCCATCAGTCCCCTCCCAGGAAAGCATTAGTCAGGGCTTAGGGGCCTCCCTGGAATGGGAAGAGTAGCTGCCAGGGCAAAGTTCACCTTGCCAGGTATAAATACTCTCTTAGAACCTGATTGACCATCCCGTCCAATCAGAGGCTTATAAGCTCTGTAAGCTGAAGATCTTTAAAAAATCACCATGCTTCCAAAGTCCCTGTCTCTGAACCCCTGAGGCATGGCCAACGACATGCCTGAGTTAACACAAACCTGCCCTGCCGGGTCACCTGCCTGTGTCCCTTACCCCACGAACCACAGAAGCAAGATCTTCAGGCTTCCTGGAGGATGACAGTGCTGATCCTTTGGCCCACTGAGAAAGGATACACCTGTCAGCCACTTTCACTCCACCCTCTGTCAGTCCAGCCAGTGGCCTTCAAACTCGGCCCAGTGGAGAGGGATGTAAGCACACAGCCTCCCGGACCACACCTCTAGAAACCACAGAGGAGTGAGTCACAAGTTTGCATTTCTAAGTCGGGCCTGGTGGCTCACACAGTAACCCTGGTACACCCGGACTGAGGCAGGAGGATTGCCACAAGTTTGAAGCCAAACCTAGACTACAGTATGAAACCCTGTCTCAAAATATAAACAAAAACCAATCAACCAACCAAACAAAAACAACTAAATGTCTTAGTTGGGGTTTCTATTGCTTTGATGAGACAACATGACCAAAAAAGGCAAGTCTGGGGAGGAAAGGTTTATTTGGCTTACACTTCCACAGCACGCTTCATTATCAAAGGAAGCCAGGACGGGAACCTAAATCCTAGCAGGAGGTAGAGGCAAGGTGACTTCACGCTTTAGGCTGGCCCGGGATGTGCAGTGAGAACCTCTCTCACTAAACAGGATGGTGGCAGCGGTGTCGGTGTCGGGGGAAGGCAAAGCATCTCAGTCCAGGCTTTCCTGTGGCTTTGGGGACACTATCTTGCCAAAATTAGGACATACCCCATCTGATGGTAATTAATCCCGCTTTCCCTTCTCTGCAGGACATCTTGAGGTCCTAAGCTGAGCTGTGTTTTGCAAATGGTAGCCACTATTTAAACCCTAGCTCGTTGAGGTTAGATCTTGTGGGAAGAATGAACTTGAAGTCAGAGGCAGCCTGAAAGAGCAGGTGAAGCCTGCAATCTCCGTGGCTTTTTGCCTGCTGTCCCGGTCTCAGTAGGATGTACAAAATGACGAGAGAGGTCGCGCTGACGTTCAGGGAGCCCCTCAGAGCCCATCTCTCACCCCCAACCTGCAGCTAGCCTCCGGCCTCATGCGCTTCCTTGCTGAGATTCCGCCCCAGGATGGAGGCGGCTGGCCCCTCTCAGACCCCCAGGACACTGATGACGACTAAGCATGGGGAGTATCACGCAGCGCTCATACCAGGCAGTCCCAGAAACTCCTTCCACACTGCTCTCAGCCTTGGCCTCCTCCCGGGCTGCCTAGACCCCCAGCCCCTGCAAGCTGGGAACCCTTGCCTGCCCGCTGAGGTTCCACAGCAGGAGAGAGGCGAGCGAACCCTCCTTTCTGCTCCTTTCTGCGGGAGCACACCAGCAGCCACAGGCCTGTTTAATTTAATGCACTGTGGCTTGCCAGGTTGCCCCTGGTAACAGCTTCAGCTGCTACTTCCGAAACGGCCAGGATTTTTAAAGACACAGACTATTTTCAGGCTGGCATTGCGCTGCAGAGGGAGCAGCGTCCAGGAGCGTCCGCTGACTCCATCTGTAACCCAGAAGCCCGCCTGAAGCCTGCAGCCTGACGCCTACTCACAAGTGTGATCTGCTTAGGGGCTACATTTGAGATTGGTCACATGTGTCGCTCAGATAGCTGCGTTTTTGAGAGTCAGTTTAGTCTCCAAATATGGAGGGTAAGGAGAGGAGGGCCGGGAAGCGCTGCTCCTGCAATTCAGGGACAGTGCCACCAGGGGGCGATATTGTTTGCACGGTGAAAACCATTAGCCGGCTCTAAATTTGAGGATGTTGGCAATGTGCAGAGCCGGGGAGGAGAGGGGGCGCCGGCTTGGAAACCGTGATGCTAACCCCCGTGGAACTTTGGGCAAACCACTCCACCTCTCTGGTGCCCCTGGATCCATCAGGAGACTGATAACGGTGGTGGAGGAATGACTTTAACTCCCAGCTCTGTCGTTCACTAACCATGTGGTTTGGGCGAATAATTTAATGTCTTAGGACCTGAACGACGATGAAAGGAGTGTCTGCACAGCAAGAGGAGCCCTGCCCAGAGGCAGTGACTCGGGCAGGTGTAATAGTACAGGCCTGTAATGTAAGCACAAAGCGGCACATATTCGAAGCTACCCTGGGCTACACAGCAAATCCCCACTAGGCTGTCTCAAAGCAAAACAAAACAGAACTGACAGCACACCCAATACCGGGAGCCGGTGGAGATAAGAGAGGTGCGTGTGGCCCTAGAGAAGGGGGAATAGGGTAAGGTGGGGTGTCTTCAGGCTCCAGCCCCTGAAGCCCTGTGGCCCTTTGGGGCACTGAAACAGATTGCACACACGACAAAGCAGCCCCAGGCCAGTCCATACCAGGGGAGATGGAATGAGTGTTTACCCTGGGAGGGCCCTGCCCACACAGGACCCCAAGAAGCACAGCACTATGCTCTGTAAGAGGAAATTTTATTTGACTGTTTCAGTTGTTGTCTGGGAGGATTACTGCCTCCTTCTGTTAACCTAGGCCTAGTCCTGGAAGCTTCTTGGCTCTGTACAGTCTAACCTAGGCCTAGAATGTTTTCAGTCTCTGAGACTTACTGCTGAATAAGCTCACCCTTTCTTGTTCTTAAGTGAGCTCTGGGCTGGCTGGTTCAAGTCAGCTGTTCTGGCTCAAACTCCGCTCCCAACTAACTTACTCAATCTGACTTTTCTCTCAGCCTCTGAATTGCTCTGGTTGGTCTCAAACTAACTCCAGCAATCTGCTCTAATCTCCTGGCTTTTTCCCATTCTCTGGCCCATTCAGTCTTCACCTGAGTTCTCTCTCTATTACTGTCCTTATTAAAACAAAACAAAAATAAAAAAAACAGCCTCCTCTCTCTCTCTCTCTCTCACTGCCTCTTAAGTAGCTTTCCTTTCCTCTCTCTTCTTGTGAGAGTTGGATGTATCCTGTTCTGTCAAGTCTTTCTCTGCTTTGTCATGTTTCTGCCACTCAATTAGACATCACTTTTAAACATGGGTGCTTCCTTCTACAGACTAACTTTACCTTCATTGTTTGGGATTAAAAGGCAGGTACCACCATGCCTGGACCTCATTTCTTTACCTGAAACTTACTCTACACCAGGCTGGCCTTGAATGCAGATCTGCTTGCCTCTATCTCCTGGATTAAAGGTGTGTTTATATTCAAGCTGGATCACACAGGCCTAGAAGATCTTTGGATGTGATCTCTTGCCAGAACAGCCATGTTCTAAATTAAAAACCCTCTACAGTCCTCCTTGCTCTTAAGGATGCAACCCCTAACCACTCCTCCCTAGAGCCACCCAGTTGGGCCACTCAGGCATGTGAGCTATTCAGCCTCTGCTCTGCTCATTCCAACCTAGAATAATTCTATTATGTCTTGTGTTGTCCCCATCTCTTGTCAGAATCGTGGAAGGAAGTGTGGGGCCTCCTCCCTCCATGACCTGGGTTAATCAATCACAAGGCATGCCTGTGGCCAGAGGTCACACTAACAAGCAGCCAGGCGGCCCAAGGCACCAGGAGCTGCTCATGGGCGAGTCTTTGACCAGTGTGACCCAGAAAAGATGCTCCATAAATCTGAGTCCTCTCTTCCTTCCAAGGTCTGTGTAGGGACAACAGATAGGCAAGCTACCACCGTATCCCTGCTTTGTGCTTTGAGAAATGTTCCCAGTTTCTCGAGGATGCCCCAGAACCTTTGGAACCTGCCTCTCTGTCCTCAGTTCTGTGCTTTTCCCAGCCAAAGCCCCAGGGTTCACGTTCCCGCCTAGCTTAACCCACTGAGGTGTTCTGAATAGAAAAGCACACATGGGGGCTTGCTCCAGCCAGCTCCAGCCCCTGCTATGGCTCCCCACTGCCTTACAGATGGTGTTAAGTTCTAAGCCTAGTGCTTTGGCCCTTCCCAATGTTTCCCATTGGCTCCCAAACTCCTTGGGCTAGGGTTCATATGCAAACCCCATACACCACACTCTCACATTGGCCCGAGAAGGCCAGTCCTGGGATAGTTTTTAATCCGTATATCCCTCTAGGTGGCTCCCTTTCTCCTTGAGGACCCTGTTTTAGTGCCTCTTCTCCAGAAAGCCTTCCTGGGTTGGGGAGGACTCCTCCAGGGTCCTATGGCCCCTGAATCCCTTGTGTATTTACATCTGGCTTTCCTGCCAGGCCAAAGCCCTTCACCATGGGGGCCCACCTTCCCTCTCTGTCTTCACTGCCCAGCTTTGGACCACACAGAAGGTGGGAGGGAAAAAAGCTGAGAAATACATCAGGCCTCTGGAGCTCATGTTTCCTGTCCCTGTCCCAATAAGCTGTCATACCGCTCTGGAGCTCAGATGCACACACACACACAATTTACTCAAGATCCCGTTCACCGGCTCCCTCCACCTCACTCACACACACAATGTTCTCTCTCTCTCTCTCTCTCTCTCTCTCTCTCTCTCTCTCTCTCTCACACACACACATCCCCATGCATCTTCTCAAGCCAGTCTCCTTCCTACCAGATACCCTAGTGCCTGCTCCACTGTCTGAAGTGCCACACCTGCTAAAGACCCAGCTTGAAAACATATCCTCTAGCTGGGCAGTAATGGTGCACACCTTTAACCCCAGCTCTTAGGAGACAGAGGCAGGTGGATCTCTGAGTTTGAAGCCAGCCTACAAACTCTTGAGTTCCAGGACAGCAGGAACAGGCAAGGGTTATACAGAGAAAGCCTGCCTCAAAAAACAAAAGAAAGAAAGAAGGAAGGAAGGGAGGGAGGGAAAGAGGGAGGGAGGGAGGAAGGAAGGAAGGAAGGAAGGAAGGAAGGAAGGAAGGAAGGAAAGAAGGGAGGGAGGAAGGGACAAGACCTCTGATGGCTGAGAGCAATGTCATCCTGCTATAATTGGCTGCATCACTCTCAGGGCCTTGATCAGACTTTGCTCTTCCCCCAGGGTCTGACAGTCTAGCATGGTGGCCAGAGCAGGAACTATGGAACTAAACAATGCCCCAGCTATGCTATCCTGGGCAAGTCACTTCACCTCTCTGTGCCTCAGTGAATTTATCTGTAACGTAGGGATAAGTTGAGTCCTAAGTTTGCCGTGAGATCCAGGCAGTGGGCATGAGAACCTTGGCACACACATGAGGCCTATACATACCCAGGTCTGTTCTTCTTGCCGGCTTGTAATGTCAGGGTTCAACTGTCATTCGAGGCCACATTCCCACATCACCTAAGGGGTGCTCAGAAATGCTGGCTGATTTGAAAGTTGCTGGAGCAAGCGGGTGTGTGGGGAGTGAAGTGAGTGAGCTCCTGAACTGAGAAGGCAGAAGAGAGAACATGGAGGGAGGGGCCAGAGCCAGAGGCAGAGCTGCCGATATGCACTGGGGATTTTATTGGTTTTCATTAAAATTCCTTCCCAAGGCAAGAGGAGCTACTCCCTTAAATGGTGGTATAAATATTTTATCTGGTGCCCAAGTCAGTCTAAATGCACAGTAAGGCTGGCAAGAATAATAATGAGAAAATATTCTGGGAGGCCGGGTGAGGTTGGTGAGGCTGAGCCTCATGGACTCACTTCAGGAGTGAAAGGCTTTCTCAGGAAGGTAGAGGTGAGGAAAGTGCCAGAGGAGAGAAGGAAAGGTGGTGAGAAAGGAGAATAAGAGGAGAGAGAATAAGAGGTGAGAAAGGAGAATAAAAGGAGAGAGAATAAGAGGCTGAGCAGAGCCCCAGGCTGGGGAACCAGAGGAGGGTGGGATAATCTGGGGAAGGGAAACCATGTTCCGAACCTGCTCTGTATGGCTAATCTCAAATGCCCTTTGATCAGAGGAGGAAAGCAGTTTGCCTGAGGCTGCCCAGCCAGGCACTGCCACCAGGGCTGCTGAAGGCCACGGGCCTCCCTGCTGTACCTGTTCCCTCAAGTTCAAGCTCACAAGCATGGGGACTTGTACACAACAGCCTGAGCATCTCAGTAACCACCACACAGCACACCCTTCTTTGCTTCCTAGATCCCAGCAGAGGAGAAAAGGAGCTGGTACTTCACCATGGCAACGCTCTTCCTGAGGTCAGGCCTGGGAATGGAGATGGATTGGGGATGGAGGGAAGGGGTGTGGCCTGGAAGCCTAGCGGAAGATGGAGCAGAGGTGGGAAGGCTTTCCTCTGGCAAGGAGCCTGTGGGCACCATGGCAGCACTGCATGGGTGGCTGGGAGGGATGAACAGGGGTCACAACCCCCTCTTGTTCACAGGCTGGACGGCATTTTCCTGGAGATGGGCAGTGAGGAACAGAGGAGACTGCCAGCCTTCAACCGTACCCTGGCCTTGCTCCGGGAAGTCCTCAAGTCCTCAGATTCCAGACACCAAGGTGGGAACTGCAGGCAGGGTTGAAGAGTGGCCTCTGTCCTGCTCTCCTGCATCTGTCAGTAGTTCTGTCTGCCCCTAGCCCTGTCTTTCTTTTTGCCTCACCCTGGCTTTATCTTATAGTCATGTTTACCCAAGGAAGCCCAGGCTGCTTGTCCAGTAAATAAAGCCATTGCAGAGCATAGCAGCCCCAGGTGTGATGCCAGCCAGACTGTATGGTCCCGGCACTGAGTGCCATGTGAAAGAGCACACAGAAGGCTTGGATGCTGGCGGCAAAACAATTTACCAACATGGAAAAGGGCAAAGAGAGAATGTATTGGAAATATACTTCGCGGAAATGGCAGGGAAGCGAACAGAGAAATTAGCCACTGAGGGAGAGGATTTTGTCTATAGCAGTTGAGGGGGGTTACTGAGCCATTTTTGTGGGGACCCCATCTGGGTGGAGAGGCCACATGTCTTGTCATCTCGTGCAGTAGTGACCTCTACAGTAAGTTGTTTTTCCTGAAAGTGGCCATTTGTGTGAGGAGCCCTGGGGTCCTTGGGGATTAGACATCATGGGCTCCAGGGGCTGTGGCTAGACTCAAAGCATTTGCCTCTAGAGTCAGGAACCTGAGGCAGAAAGGCCCAGAGTGCTGAGCTAGTATGTGCTACCTGGCAAGACTGTCACAAAACAAAACAAAAAACCCACCAAACAGCTGGGCAGTGGTGGCACACACCTCTGATCCCAGCGCTGGGGAGGCAGAGGCAGGTAGATCTCTGTGAATTCGAGGCCAGCCTGGTCTACAGAGTGAGTTCCAGGATAGCCAGGGTGAAAACAGAGAAACCCTGTCTCAAAAAAACAAAAAACCAAACACCAAACCAAACCAAACAAACAAACAAAACCCACAGAACAGGCAGTGACATGGACCCATATCTTGGATTGTGTAACAATCCACAACCTCCAGCTATGGTTAGGGAAGATCGGTGTGGGAGGCAGGTGAGTCATTCCTTCTAAAGGCCAACCAGCAATCACAGGGGCTGTACCCCCAGGAGGCCACAAGAGCTATATCCCTGAAATGACCTCTCCCGAGTGAGCACTAGAATGTGTCACATCCTTCCTCTACAATGCTCGTGCTCTCCCTGCCCCCACTGCTCCCTAAAGACCTTCTCTCGTGCTCACGCAGCTCTGGGCTGGTGCTACGTTGGCATGCTGCTGGAGAGGAAGGATACCTTCTCTACCACCCCCATGGGCGTCCACGAATGCGGGTACTCAGGGACAGATCCCCTGGACTGCTTTGGCAAGGTATGTATGCGTCCTGGGCACCCCTGCTTTGCAGACTGGGTCTTCCACGTCCCCCCCGCCAGAGCCCTCTGCTTCTCTGGATCCCCCCCCCGTGTGACTCACCCGGAAAAGAACCTACTCCAGCCCTCCATCTCCGTCCTCTCCTCACCCAAAGCAAGTGTGCCCCCTTCCATGCCTGTTCTGTTCTCCCCACCTACACTGGCCCACACCCATCCCCCCAATCCCCCTTGGGGCCTGTATCCACACCATTGCCTTGGCTGTGTTTCCTCCCTCTCATCCCCAGTGGTTTAGTGGAGAGAATGGATTTGCTGGGCCCTCCCTACTGGCTCTGCTCTCAGGCCATGTGCCTCTGAGACAAGCCCCTCAGAACAGATAGCAATCGGCGTAAACATTGGCAGGGAGAGACTGGCCCAGCTAGACACCCCGTGAGTATGAGGAGGGAGAGACTGACTCCGACCCTACCTTCTTAGGCCATTGAGATCGCCAAGAACCAGCCTCCCATCCTGAATCGCCTGGCTAAAATCTTCCACTTCCTAGGAAAGCAGGATATGGCCATTGGAACCTGCAACATGGCCCTGGATGTACTTAGAGATCCACAGCTCAACTGGCAGGCATACTGCACCAGAGCCAAGGTGAGCCAGCCTGCAGCCCCACCTCATCCTGCCATCAGGCACAAGAGGCCAAAGGTCAAGGGTGAAGATCCTGGTGCTAGGCTTCATGGAGCTTGGGGGTCATCTAGACACCTGACAGTACCTGCCCTTTGAGCTAAGAGTTAAGTTTGGTGCTGTACGTAAACTCGGAAGCAAGCACATCCAGAGAGCTCCCTGTGACTGACTGATTGCTTTTATTAAGTCCATTGTTAGCAGCTTCACTGTCTCTCGAGAGCGGGCTGCACTGTGCTGTGCCCTCGATGCGATGCTTCCGGTCACACCCTGAGGTGAGAGCTGCCTCCCTCCGCTGGACCCAGCTCCATCTCCGGCACCCCGCAGCACCCGGCTGTTTGAGGCCACACCTGCAGCTCTGCATTCATTTTCCCCCTCACCTTCTTCTCTACAACCTTTCACCCGACCTGGTAGCCGAATGTGCTCCCGGTCTCCGTGGCTGCAGGAACTAAACAGAAAACCACTGTGCTACAAAACTCTTCTCATGCCGTGCTCTCGTTTAATCCTCCCAAGAATGCCTGAGAGATTAGACAGGTGCCAGTGTGTGGGTGGGGCATGACTCGGGGAGGCAGCCAGCTTCTCAGCAGCCTGCTTTCACTCTGAGCATCACAGCCTCATCTCCTCCCTCCGCTCCCTGGGGCTCCAGAGGTTACACTTGCTAGACAACCAGAGCAAGAAGGAATTTGACAGAAGGGAAGGAACAGGTCAGAGTGGGAGCTTCAGCCCATTGTGTCACCAGGAGCCCAGACCCAGCTGGGCTGGGGTAGCTCTGCCCAGCGTCTTGTTGTGACTCACTTGCTCTCTCCCAGCTCACTGGCCCGGGTCTCCACCTAGAATGCTCTCATCATAGATATCCCATTGGCTTTCTAGCTCCCTTCCTGCAGGCCTGACAGAACTTCAGCTTCTTTCTAGCGGCCTCTTATCAAAACTGTCAGACTATTTGCCAGTATTTTCTGCTCTTTCCTGCTTTGTGTTTCCTTCTTAACACCCAATGTACTACTCGCTTTTTATTGTGCTTATTATTTCTCCCTACTAACATACAAGTCCATAAGAGCAGAGTCTCTGTTATCCTGCTTTCCACCGTCTCCTCAGTGCCTGGCACATAGTAGGTTTTGTGAATTGCTAAGTTTTCAGCTTAGAACATGAAGTTTAGATCATGTGAAACTTCTTCCAGCTGATTGGGGGAGGACACTGGATGGATGGGTGGATGGATGGATGGATGGATGGATGGATGGATATGCTTACTTCATCCAGTTCCTCTAAACAGGGAGACAGGCCCAGAATGGGCAGGAGTTACTGTAGCTGGCACAGAAGTAAGACCTAAGACTCTTGGGTCCCAGCGTGGGGTGGCAGGCTTTTGCAGCCATGCAGGATGTCCCTGGTGGCTGCTGAGGAGCAACCGGCTTTCTCATTGGACCAGAAAAGAGGCAGACATCTTGTGTGGAGTGCTTCCTGAGTTGCCCCTCCATTGCAGGTCCGAATCAGAGCCTACGTCCATGACCTGGAACGTGCCAAGGTGGGACTCGGGGGTATGCCTGACAGGAACTACCTGGCCTGTGCCAAAGCTGACCTTGAGAAAGTGGTCAAGGTGTGCCCAGGCCTCAGGACCTACCTAGACATCGGTCAGGTAAGAGAGACAAGGGCTGCCTGGGCACTGAGGACAGAGAGGAGTAGGTGGTACCCATCCTGCCCTCTTCCTCCAGCTGCCCCGTGGACTGGGTGCTGTAATGTGTGTACGGGGTTCGGGAGCAGCTCTCCACCGACCCGCTATCTCTTTTAACAGTATAGTCAGTACAGACCATGATGTGCTCAGGGAAGGGCTATCAAAGGTGACCACGTCACAACTGTACACGAAAGGGCTTGTTCAAAGTCACAAGACTGTGTGTGGAGGGGCCGGGACTAGAACTCTGGTACAGGTGTCTCGTTTTCAGCTCCCGCCACCCCCTCAGGTTTACTACTACATGGGCGTGGATGCCATGAGGGAGCTGCTGGCAGTGGATGAGGCGGCGCTCAACCAGGCTCTGGTCTTCCTGGCAAAGGCTGGCGAGTTGGAGCTGGGCGACACGCTACCTGAGCTGCAGCTGCTGCGCGGCAAATGCCTGCGTGTCCAGGGTGAGGACGCCAACGCCGCAGCCTGCTTCAAGCGTGCGGTGGAGCTGGACGACACGGGATCCAGCCATGCCGAGGGCTTCGGCTGCCTGCTAGAGGCCCTGCTGGCCCAGTGGAGCCAGGCGCAGCTAAGCGATGGCCAAGTGGGCTGTGAGGTGGACATCTGGCTGCGCCACGCCCAGAACAAGTACCCAGCGGCACGCTTGCGCCAGGAGCTGCAGCGCGTGTGGCGTGGCCACACCGATGAGGTCCTAGGCCTGGCCCGGGCCTTGGTAGCCCAAGGACGGCCAGCATTGGTGCGGCTGCTCTTTGAGACCATGGAGCACGAGGGTGAGGACGCTGGAGGGCTGTGCAAAAGTCAAGCATCCTCCTCCTGAGGCAGGCGATGATAACCTGGGAAGTTGCCACCCTGAAGAGGCCCCGCCCTAAAGAGGCCTGCCCCCGGATAATTGGATCTAGACAGGCCAGCTGGCAGGGTGAGCGGAGCCAGAATGATTTCTGAGCAGGCCCTGTAGTTTCAGAGAAAGCTTGCAGAGCAGGCAGGAGGCCCTGGGATCATTTCCCACACCATGGGGCCAAAAATCAAAGCAGAGCCGTCACCACCACCACCACCGAACCCCACTCCCGGAAATTGTGAATGGGTACTTGCAGGAAAGTCTGTAGCGCAAAGGAGTCTGGGAGCAGGCATGGGAGGCCACTGGGAAACTGCCGCTGGAGGGAAAGAGTTTGACAAACATGCAGAAAAACGTGCTCAAATCTCCTGACCGAAAAGATAGCTGTCACAGACGTGACTTTTTATTCCCCCCGATGCCTGAGTGACTGTCCTTGGGTCCCCAAGGGCCACACTGAAAGTTTAGCTAAGTGGATCTCATATCCTGCAGCCAGAAAAGCATGGCTACAACAGGCCAAGGTGGCACTATCCCTGGGTGCGGGCAGGGTCCTGACTTAAACCCTGGCGCTCAGAGCTGGTTCCCACCTCTCCATCAGCTTCCAGCAGGCCTCTGCTTTCCTGCGCCTTCTTGGAAAGCTTCCCAAAGTCCTTGAAATAAAACTCATCAATAAGACACCTTTACTTGGCTTCTTTGCTCTTGGGCGGACTTATGGATGGACCCATTTGTAGTTTCCACCTGCCGCTGTCGTAAACCTGGAACGGGAGGAACCCTAGACTCTTCCACACTTACAATCACCATTGCAAATGTAGAAATTTGCGCCCCCCCCCTCCCAAGCCTCTAAATTAGTGATTCTCAGCCTTCCAATGCTGTGACCCCCTAACACAGTTTCTTATGTTGTGGTGACCCCCCCAACCGTAAAATCATTTTGTTGCTACTTCACAACTATACTGTTGCTACTGTTATGAATCGTAATGTAAATATCTGATACGCAGGGTCTCTGATATGTGACCCCTGTGGGGGCCGTGACCCACCAGTTGAGAACCGCTGCTCTGAATCGTAGACTGGCTGGGACCACAGGAGAGCTCACTTAACCCAAAATTCCACAGCGAGTTCTTGTCAGCCCCCAGGAATGGTGGTGGCACCTAATCGTGGTACTGCTTTCCCCCTGGTGGCTTACGATGGCTCACGTTTCAGGTGGTGACAGTCTCTGCTTCACTTCTCTCCACTGCAGCAGAAGGCAGGCATGTGGTGACTCATCCGTGGACAGCACATGACCCGGACCGATTGTCTTCCTCCTACCCTTCCCTTCTCCACCAAGACCTTGACTATGAAGTTCCTTAAAACGAGAACCCCATCTCTGCGTCACTAAACTGACAAAGTTCGGCAGGACTTGGAAGTTGGTGCTGTTTTCTTCCTTGCCTTTTCTGTTCTTTTCCCTGCTCCTGTCAGGCTTAGGTTTTTTTGTTTGTTTTATGACACCTTGTTGTATATAGCTTTTTCTTTTTTAAAAAATAATTTAATTATTGTACATACATTGGTTTCTTCCTACGTGTAGGTCTGTGTAAGGATGTGAGATCTTGGAGTTACAGACCATTGTGAGCTGCCATGTGGGTGCTGGGGATTGAACCCCGGTCCTCGGTAAGAGCAGTCAATGCTCTTAACCGCTGAGCCATCTCTCCAGCCCCCTCTTCTGGTAACCTCATCCGCATATTCACACATCGCAAACACCCATTCTAATTTTCCTCGGGGTTCTCTACACTTTAACCCAAAGTCGATGAGGTAAAGAGCCCCATTTCCTAGGCTGCCCAAGATGTGCTATGCATAGATTAAGTGGCATTACAACCCTCATTTCAGGGATGACACAGACATGAACAAGGTCCCAGACAGATGAAGAGTCAAGGCTGAGGTAGACCAGCCTCATTCTCTGTAACCTCCCAGCCTTAGTCTTACAGATCTGTCATCTTCGGTCAGAGTTAGGCTTCCCTGGTGTCCTTCGAGCCCATTCTACCCCATCTCTGCTCCCAAACTGTCTAACCTCATGCCTTTCCACATCGTGTTTCCTCAGTCATTTCTGTCCCAGGGGCTCAGCTCAGAGGCAACGCCCACCAGGAAGTTCTGTCTTCTTCCATCTCTCTCGAACCCCACCTTTTTCAACGTGGAGGGTTTATTGTAGCTGTGTCTCGCTTCAAGACATCTGTGGATGTTGTGGCCAGGACCCAGGAACCCTTGAGGTCTAGAGTTCGGCCAGAATCATGCCAACTCCCCCGTTACATAGCTGGGAACTGAGGCCCAAAGACTTGTCCAAAGTCATGCTCAAAACTGCCTTTCCATTCATGGTCCTCTCAGGGATGCTGCCTTGCCAAGTTTGCTTCTGTCAAATCCAAGAGAACCCCAGTTCTTTCATTTTTGTCTTTTACTAACAAATACTTAGCAGTGGGCGTCCCCAGCAAAGAGCCATTAGGGCTTACGGCCTGGGGCAGTGGAAGCAGTAAGGCTGAGAGTGCTGACAGCACAGGACTTGACCTTGGAGAGTCCGCCCGGAGATGAACTACCAATGGCAGGCTTGGAGATGGTGTGGAGGAACCTGATTGGTCACCCAAAATTATATAACCTGGTCTCTTTTCTGGAATAAACGAGTCTGTATCCACTTGCCCTTGGTTTGCATTCACCTGACTCCCAGTGTCTGTGTGGTGACTCCGTGCCTCTCACCCCCCGAACCCCCATCCTCACCCACGAGCTGGACCCTAGGGAGGAGGACCAACACTTAGCAAGCACAGGCCAAAAGCCAGACAAAGCACCAAACTCCAGAACAATTTTGGAATCAGAACCAACCTTGTCCTTGCCTTGCCTTCATAGAGGTGGTTGTCTGGACCATGCACAGCAGTTAGGAAAGGACCTGTGGACCACCTTCGGAACTTTGGATCTACAAAGCTACTGGAAACTTCAGGAAGTTCCTGGATGACCCTCCCCCAGCCATCCTCAGCTAGCCTGAGTAGCACTTGTGCAGAGCAGTAAAGAGTGTTCTTTGGCAGTTCCTTGCTCCTTTGATTTCCTGTCTATAAGCCCTGAAGAATCCTCTGCCCACTGGGAGGCTGGGAGCACAACTTCACACAGATGAAGCCACAGGAACCCACAGGCCTTGCATGGCCTGCCCTCTCCTCTTCTGGGTCTCACGGTCGCTATGTAGCTGGCAACATCTGTTTAAGAGGCGTGACAGAAGGCTGTGAAAACTTATTAAAATGGGCAGGATTCCTCAGTTATGGGTTTCAAAGATCTAAGAGTTGCAATGAACCTTAATTCTCATCTGCCCTAGGCTCCAATCTAAAGCAGGACTCCTGAGCACTGAGTATCCTTGAGGAAGTATCTATGAACAGCTGTGTACAGCAGACGGGCAGATTACCACATCACAGAAGAATTAATTGATAGCCAGCCATGGTGGCTCATACTTAGAATCCCAGCATTCCTTAGGCTGAAGCAGGTCAGCCTTGAGATCAACACCAGCCTGGGCTACACAGTGAGCTCCCTGTCTGCAGAGTGAGAGCCTTCGTGGAAAGCTAAACAAAAGGAAGAAGACATGAATTGAAAAAGAAAAAAGAAAGGAAAAAGCACTCTGAGAGGCAGAGGCAGGTGGATCTCTGTGAGTTCGAGGCCAGCCTGTTCTGCAAAGCCAGTCCAGGACAGCCAAGGCTACGCAGAGAAATCCTCTCTCGAAAAACCACAAAACAAAACAAGACAAAACAAACAAAAGAACCACACAAATCAGTCTCATTTTTTCAACAGGTATATCCTTTTCTTGAGTTGAAATGTTTTCTGAAACTTTCCCCCCAATTCAAGTTCGTTTTCTGGGACCGCAAAGCATAATAAGCAAAATGGTATTGGACAGGCTCTCTCCTCTGCTACCCATTCTCTTCCTATATGGTGCCTGTTACAGTGCTGCTGTGCAGTGTTGCAAGCCTGGCTGCACTCTGACCCGGCTTCCAGCCTCCAGCCTCAGCCTCCAGCCCAGCCCAGATGCTCACAGTGAAGGTGCGAACAGCTAAAAAGCTGTACAGAGCACGGTTTCTCTCCATCCCAAAACAGCCCCCAAGGGAGCACCCTGCGTGGATGGATGATGGTGGCCAGATGCCAAAAGAAGTGAACTACCTCCTTCTCGGGCTGTTGACGACTCTTTTTTTTCTTGTTTAGCGCAGGGGAGGATAATGACATTTAGCACTTTACAGCTCAACGGTAAAATGAGCAGATGGAAACAGATCCCCTGCACTTCAAATGATCAGGGTTCCAGCAAGAACCCCCCCAACACACACACACACATACACACACAGGTCTCGGGGGCCAAAGTCACTGGCAGGCTTACTGATGAGGTCAGAGCAGGGCTCCCCCTCCTCTCTCAGCTTTTGCCATACCCAGCGACTCACAACAGGTTTCACACCTGTCCTAAACCTACCCTCAACCACCCAACCCCTGACAGCTACCTTCAGCCCCCCAGCTGTCGCCTCAACTGCCTCTGCCCTCGGCTCCATCCAGCTAGAGCCAGGTGGTAGAATCTTGAGCTGGCCTTCAAGATTGTCTCATTTAAGTTGTCTCTGTCAGGCATTTGGACACAGCAATGAGAAAAGTAGTAAATACTTTTCCCCAGAATCAAACCCTCATGATGAACTACCCAGCCCCTGGAATGTAAGGTACACATCTCTGGTTTTCAGAAAGCACCCAGTCTCTGGTGCTGCAGAGATGACTCAGCAGTTAAGACTACTTGCTGGGGGCTGGAGAGATGGCTCAGTGGTTAGGAGCAGTGGCTGTCCTTCCAAAGGACCCAAGTTCAATCCCCAGGAACCACGTGGTAGCTCACAACTGTCTGTAATGGATTCTGATGCCCTCTTCTGGTGTGCGTGAAAAAAGAGCACTCATATACATTAAATAAATAAATAAATAAATAAATAAATAAATAAATAAATAAATAAATAAATAAATAAATAAGCAAGCTTGAAACAACAACAAAAAGACTACTTGGCCCTTTCAGGAGACCGAGTCCAGTTTCCACACCCACATGGGGTGGCTCCGAATAACAATTGCTGCAGCTCCAGGTGTGTCTTGGCTAGCCTCCATGGTCACTCACACATGCCCTAGATACACACATGATAGAGAAGTTACACGCATGTGCTGTTCCTGCAGAGGGCCTGAGTTTGGGTTCCAGCACCCACACCAGGCAACTCAGAACTGCCTGTAACTCCCGCTCCGTGGAGGAGCTGATGCCTCTGCCTCTGCACCCACCTCTACATAATGGCCTAGAGACACACATGTCCACGATTAAAAATAGACCTTAATAAATACATCTTTAAAAGTACAATAAAAAATTGTCCACTCTCAAGCATTTTTGTGATAGTTAGCACATAAGGACTTAGACGGCCAGAGAGCCCAGATATTTGCTCCAACACTATTCTGGATGTTTCTGTGACACTATTTTTAGATGAGACTAGTATTCTACCCGTTGGCTCTGAGTAAGTGGACTGTCTTCCTAATGCATGTAAGCTTGTTCAATCAGCTGAAGTAGAAGAAGGACTGACTTTCCATCAGCGAGGCCTTTGGTCTCCAACTGAAACACCAGCTATTCTTGCTGGCCTCGTTCACAGATTTTTGAGCTTACAGCTTCTGTAATCATTGAAG